TATGGATCAATAGTATACATTTTGTATATGTTATCAGGTACTATAAGAAATAAACCAAAAATATGAGGCTGATTTAAGGTTCAACAAGCCCCCACATAGATAGCATTGTCGCATATCAACTTCAATTCTACATGTATAATGAGAATAAGTTAAAATAAAAAAATAAAAAGTAAACATCAGATTTCAGATATATATGTGTGACCAGTGATAATCCTTGCCTTGCTGGTTTAAGTGCAAATGTATTTGGGCATTTTAGCCCTATACCAGAAAAAAATTTGGGCCTTTTGTGTGTAAAAGTGGGGCAATTTACTTGACAAAAAATGTGTTTTGATTTAAAGGTAACATTTTAATTAAGCTTCAATTAAAGTTATAATACTACGGACTAATACTGATCAATTTCTGTGATATTACAGATCAATTTACCCAACATACAAATTCCAACTGCTCCATTAATAGACTATATATTACATTCGCGTTTGAAGTTTTATAATGTACATGTCCAAAGTGAATCACTTCTTTTTTGTTGTGAAGAAAATATGAAAATTCAATTGTTTGTGAGGATATATAAATCTGGAAATATTCTTTTAAAATGTTTTCAAAAATAATAAGATTTATCCCGTCCATTTACTGATTTTATCAGATAGAGTGACATATGACCACATTTGCACATGGCGTTTAGGTTTGCTTTCAATTTTCCAGTAATTGTAAAAGTAACGCAAGCATGCATAAAAAACATTCTTTGTCATTAATTATGTTTGATTTGTTCGGAGGTAACATTTTGGCCTTTTGGGACTTTCCTCGTTACTTTAATCTTTGGAACTATAAATACAGCTGTATCAGGGAAGATTCTGGAATTTGATAGCAGTGGGCCATTTTGCGCAATTTTTAGTCAATATCAAAATTAAGAGTGACATTCTTCGTAAAATTAAATGAAAATTGGAACATGGAGGGGTCAATTTCCGTTTTGAGGGGTCAATGTCCCCCTCCAGGATTATCCCCGCTGTATTTAACAGATTTCTATGCTGCATGACGTAGTCTCTGAGAGCATTGGGTTTAGACTTGCCTATTTCCACTCGTGTCGCACAACGTGCCCTATGTGGGTATATTCAGGACCATTCATATGCTCAGCATTTCTGCCAAACATGCAAATGTTGGAAAAAGGGGCAAAATATATATTTTTTGCAAGATTCTCCACAAAGGCACATCCAAAAATAATCACTGATGACTTGTATGAATTTAACTTAAACTTAAGTTGTTGAATTAGTATCTGGTGAACATGGCTTAATCTGTAATAAGCTTAATTAAGGCCTTAATGTAAATAATGTAATAAGAATACAGTTCACCTACATTATAACGATATCAATCTGATCCAAACTGATATGTTTGCTACAAAATTACCATCATCTTAAACTCATCACACTTTAACTAGCTGTAAATAGTACACATAATGGGGTTTCAAATCAAGAGGGGCAGACAGCTGGTCAGTGGATACTAGGGCACTTGCTTTTCACCAGACAGCTGGGATTCAATGTGAAAATGAATTGGGTTTTCTCCATGTACTTCGGTTTCCTCCAATTATGACCCCCTGTAGGCCAAAAGGACTGATCAGAAAAAGACTTGTTTCGTTATTGTTGTATATATTTTTTAGCTTATATTTAAATAAATATAGTGGTCTTCATGCAAACCCACAGTAGTTAAATTTTAACAGTATATAAATGCGTAATCTATTTGACCGAGATAAATGAAGTGACATAATTCATAACACTCATTGTTATCAGGGAGTTTGCGATATCATAAAAATAAAAATGTTGGAAAGGTATTTGTCAGCATCTTAGATGAATAATATCTAGCATGTATGCTTGCTGATTGGCCAACAACTTCTACACTTTACCGTCGTCTAATTATTATATGACTTGACCAGGGGTTTCAATTGGCCCTATTATAGGCATCATTAAAGAAGTCGATCAAAATTTTCCCTGGAGTTGTTTAAACAGTCAAAACACATGTCGGTAAACCTGTCTTTTCAAATTCAGGAGTCAAAGTTCATTTTGGGGAGTCCAAAACATACTCTCAATGGTCTACTTACTGAAGCCCTGATTGCAGGATTCCACCGAAACTCTATCAACATTTCTACTATTCATAGACAAAGGGTTAGGTCTCATTTGAGCAGTATCTTTTAGTTCCTGCCATTTAAATCAGCAAAGTATAAAATTATTGGCTGACTGGATGACTGTTGGACAAATTTTATTGTAAATGTGGTGTAGGTTATTAAATGTTTATTGTTAAACATTTCAATCAGAATTCTAATTTAAATATAACAACAATGCCTTTTTCTTAAATGATAATTATTTTGTGTTGTTGGTACCTTTTACCTTAAGATTATAAGATTTATAAGATTAGAGTGTTTAAGGATGGTACAGTGGATAACACACTCACCTATCACTAAGACGGACGGGGGTCGTCGACTCCCCGATTGGGCGTGAAAGGTACAGGATCACCTGCCCTACAATTTGGGTTTTTTCTCCGGGTACTCCGTGGCCAGTTTCCTGCCACATTAAGAACCACACCCGCTAACATCCAGGACAATATGAGTGGTTGATAAAATTTGGAATATTTTTTTTCATAATTGTTGATAAATAAATAAAGTTCATATCAGATATAAGATTATTCTATTTTATATAAAGTTTGAAAACTATATCATATATAAGCTTGTATGATCTTTTTACCAGATTGTCCAGATAACCTGAAATATGAATCTGTCAATGAATGTTCACAATATATATTAGGTAGATAAGTCCTGCATTATATGATAACATTGGGTGTATACATGAATCTATGGTAATTTAATTCACTAGTGCTGAGTTTTAAGAATTAAATTATGTTTTGTTGAGGTTCATTGGGTATTACGAGTCTTCAATGGGCCTTCAAATTTTATGAACTACGACTGTTTATTTTTATTTTGATAATTAGAAAAAATGCAGATTTCATCAGGATATGAAACACAAAATCAATTTACAAACCTTATGAATTTCCCCCATAACTGGGTATTTACTCCTGGTAATTATTTCTTAAATTATTTAACCCCTATGTAACTTAAGTAGACTCTACCACCGTTGATATGGATGAGTCCATTATGGTCTACAGTGTTGAAAGGGTTAACAAATATTCATTGAAAAGTGTCAAAAATGTAATATGTTTATATTATTTGAAATATGTATCGGATCCATTGAAATTATTTCAAGTTCACCATCAACGATCGAAGAATGTCAAAGTCAGCTGCTGAACCTCACTTTCAGATTGACATTTAGTTACTATGAAGTTCTACATTACTTAGCTGTTTCTTTGTAATGGTATGCAGTATATTTGCAAAGAAAATTTAAAGTACACATTATCAGTAATATATATAATTAGGGCCCCGTATCGGAGATATTTAGTAATCACTTAGTAAAGCCCTATAGTAATCACTCTGTCTATCTGTCTGTCCATCTGTCCGTCCGTCCGTCTGTCCACAAATTTTGTTCCTGGCTGATAACTGTAGTATTAATTGACCGATTTACATAAAACTTGGTCAAGATATCTTGTTCAGTTCACCAAAATACACACTAAGGTAAAAAGTCGAGATCAAAGGTCAAGGTCATTAGGTTCAACGATCAAGGTCAATTTTTGCATCTTTTCACTGATGAGCATTTTGTTACGACATGATGAAGCGAAGTTGATCAGAATTTAAAAAGAAGTCAACTGACTTAAGGTCAAGATCAGAGGTCAAGGTCACTGGATCAAAGGTCAAGGTCAAATTTTGTAGCTTTTCACTGATTAGCATTTTATGACATTATGAAGCAAAGTTGGTCGGAATTAAACAAAGAGTCAACTGACCAAAGGTCAAGATCACTGGGTAAAAGGTCAAGGTCAAATTTTGTATCTTTTCACTGATGAACATTTTGTTATGACACTAAGAAGCAATATTGGTCAGAATTAAACAATGACTCAACTGACCAAAGGGCAAGGTCATTGGGTCAAAGGTCAAGGTTAAATTTTGTATCTTTCACTGGTGAACATTTCGTTATGAAGCAAATTGAAGCAATGGAACTTGCTCAGAATTAAACAAGGAGTCAATTGACTTAAGGTTAATGTCACTAGGTCAAAGGTCAAGGTCAAATTATGTATCTTTTCCCTGATGAACATTTTGTTATGACATTATGAAGCAAAGTTGGTCGGAATTTAACAATGTTCAACTGACATAAGGTCAAGGTCACTGGGTAAATGTCAAGGTCATTTTTTTTTTTTTTTACTGATGAACATTATTTTTATGTTATTATGAAGCAAAGTTGTTCAGAACTTAACACGGAGTCAACTGACCAAAGGTCCAGGTTATGGGGTCCTAAGGTTCAAGGTCAAGGTCAAGTTTTGTATTTTTCACTGATGAACATTTTGTTATGATATTATGAAGCAAAGTTGGTCAGAATTAAAGAATAAGTCAACTGACCAAAGATCAGGGTCAGTGGGTTAAAGGCCAGGTCATTTGGGTCCAAAGGTCAAAGATAAAGTGGATCTCTGACTTTGACCCTGGCTCTTGATGGAGGAGTATTTAAGGTGAAATATTAAACATATCAAAGCTAACAAATGAGTATTGCACCGGTATTTACATTTCTGTTAGCCCAGCAAATATGGAGGTGGAAGGAAACATTATACTCACATCATAGTACATGTAAAATGTATATTTTCCTTCCTTGCAATTTTTTTGAAGTCAAAATGTCAGAGGTCAAGCTCAGGTATATGGGCAGATTGCTTCTTGATGATTATGGGGGATATATTGCCACAAGACGGGGCCCTTACTGACCTGTCAGTGTTCTAGTTATCACATTTATCGGATGTTTTTTTCTCTCTGAATTTCTTATCATTTACATTGAGGGAGATGCGAGAGAAGTGATCAGTTAATGAACAGATAAAAGGTTATGATTTTCAACTTGTTTGTCACAGTATCTCTTCATTGATTTTCACAGATGCAGGGGATTGGTGCTTTCTACATCCAATACCGTACATGAAGTTTGCGAAATAAAGCAAGATGATCACACATATTCCAGCACACCCACTTAACAAAGAATCTCTCTGGTTACTTCTGTTCTTACAGGGAAGCAGCTAAGAATGAAATCAGAGGTAAGACATTGTTGTAATTGTGACATTTGCAATTTGAAAATACAACAGATGTAGAAAAAAAGCCAGAAATGGAAGTTGTCAAATTTGTTAATTGTAAATTGTTAGACTATCTAGTGAATATATTAAGCAATTGTCTAGGCGCTAGAGCCCTGGACACAGGCGACTGATATCCTTTGTACTCATTGCCTGACAGGACACTCACTAGGTACTGCACATTTTATGCATAATAAAAATTGAATACACTTTTTCAATTACATAAAAAATAAAATGAAAAATAAAATATAATACTTTAAGTTGCACCTAGCTAGACTTTGAATTATATTGTAAAGTAAATTTTATCTAGTTTCACAACATTTGTAGTCATTTAAAATATGAATTTGCAGACAAGAAACTCAATTAACATACAATAACAATAAACAATGTGCATAAATTATAAATAAAACCATTTTTAGGTATTTGGAAAATAGGGGAAGGCTGAGTTAATGTAGTTTTACGGCGTCGGCATCCCACTTCACTGAGATTTAAGTTTTTGGGCAAGTTTTTTCCAGACAGTGTTGGATCATCAGACTCAATACACTGTTGTCTATTATAAGGTTCAGGCATTTATATGGAGTGTAAGCAATGTTTTCATATTTTAATGGCCAAAACTGATTATTTGAACTTGGCTAAAGTTTATTGGGGCAAGCTTTAAGGTTTAAGTTTTTGGGCAAGTTTTGGGGGAAGTGTTGGACCACCACCATCAATAGGCTTTTGTCTATAATGAGGTTGAATTATTTGTATGGAGTGTAAGCAATGTGCTGAACCATATTTTAGTGGCCAAAACTGGTTAGTTGGGCTTGTTTTTTTGGGGTTTTTTTGTGCATTGTTGGATCGGTGACCACCATCAGTATGCTGTTGACTATTTCACGTTGTCTGGTCATCTCTTCCTTTGAAATGTACAACATGTTATGTGGTACAGCAAAACTTTGGTATATTGCCAACATTTGTTCAAAGAAATATTGGCATTATAAAGGGGTTTGGCAATACATTTAAGGATACGTATAAAGGAATTCTTACCCCTGCGAAATGATTATGAATAATTCATGAAACTTCATGAACAGTTCATGAAATATTCATGAATAATATTCATGAATGTTCTTGATTTGTTCATGAATATTTTCATGAAATTCATGAACTTAAAACTTCATGAATAATCTTGAGCAAAATATTTCATGAAAATTCATGAATATAAATTCATGAATATTCATGAATATTCATGAATGTAAAATCATGAACTTTCATGAATATAAAATCATGAATATTCATGAATATATGAATTCATGAACATTCATGAAAAATGGCAACAATTCATGAATGTTCATGAATGTTCATGAAGAAAACGTCCCATTTTAAGTTCATGAATTGAAAATGCTTGAAATATTCATGAACATTCATGAACATGTACAAATTACCACATTTCATGAACTTTCATGAAAGTTCATGAAAGTCTAATACCATATGAAAATAAACAATGGAATTCCACTTGGATACCAGAGGAAATACCACTGGATTCCACCAGCAATTTGACCTGGAATTTGTGGCCAAATTGCCCAGTGGATTCCAGTGGTATTTCCACTGAAATACCTAGCCAGTGGTCACTGAAATTCAAATTGGAATCACTTATATGAAGATAACAATAATAATGGACATTCAATAGATTCTGAATTTACAGTTATGACGGTATATATAATCATTCATGCTGTGTTTAAAGTTAGAAATAATGCAAGTAACGTCACAAATATCTTTTAAACATGAAAAAATGACAGTTGAATAACATATATATTTGCAAAAGTTTTTACTGCTACATATTTAGCATTGTTAAATATGAAATATGGATGCATGGTTCACATATGGTCTGTGTGGTTTCAAGAATATGATACAGCTGACATTATTAGGTTAGAGTTGTAGAATACAGGTTTCCCAAAACTCTTGAAATTTATCTGTATTGTATATGCAAATACATGCTGGTTTCCTCGTTGTAGAACTTGCACACTTTTTACCCGGTCTACTTATTGCGAGTCTATCCATTCTCCATGTAACAATTGATGGTGTTTGAAGTTCGAAATGTTCGTCTTCTATTTCGTCTAAATCACTGAGTTTGTTCAAAGCTTTTTAAACAAATTTGGAATTAGGATCGGAAATAATAATTCCTTCACCATTAAGTTTTTGTTTTGTCAGTAACAAACACTTTATTTCCAATTGCAAGCTCCACACTGTACGTTCCAATTATTACTGTTGTCATTTTTCTTGGTAGAACTTCTTTTGCCTAAACTTTTATCTAAAAGATATTCTCTTTTGTTTTGCAAAATTATTCCTAGTATTTGCCATACCTCTTTGTATGTCTGCTTAATTGAGGTGTCACTGATAATACATTTTTAAAAAACCGTTGTTATTTTCCAAGAATATTTGGTGCAAGGGGAGATCTTTTTTTAAAATATTGCCAGTACGTGTCTGCCGCATCTTGCATGAGATTGCTGAAAAACTGTTGTGGTGCTTTAGGTATTCCTCTTTTATCCTTTTTCAATAGCAAATCTTTCGCTGTATATCTTGGGACATTTTACACATCACTGTCATCCTGCAGGCTGGTGTTATCTTCTTAGCTTGTACACATATGCTTTAATTATCATTTGAAGATCTTGCACTAAAGCTTACATCTTCAGGTTCTGGCTGCTAATAATACTGCCTGTTTGTGTCGATGTCAGCAAAGCATGACGACTCTGTATCTGGCACACTTCAAAACGATCCATCAAGCAATCGAATGCATCTCTGATGTCCGCGTCAGTAAATTTTAGGAGTAATCCCATTTTCTGAATAAGAAAAAAGTTAATAATTTTTCATTTATCTTATAAAATACTGTAGAAATTAGTATATAGGCCTACCTGTATTTTCAAGCCCCTGTACATCAACCTTATTTTTTTTGGGGGGGGGGCTTTGATATCACACAAGTGGGACAGTAATTTTTATTGAAATTATATATTATCTATCTGCAAATTTCATACAAGTTAAGAACTATCTCAAGAGGTGCATTCATACTGTAAACTTCAAATTCGGCAGGGTGGGATTGGGTGCACACGCACACACGTTTGGTAATTTGGACGCAGTAACCATTAGCACTCAGTAATATATTCAATTCTGTTTTCTAACGTATAATTTTCAGTATCGATATCATTGCTAAACCCGCACGGTAAATATGACCACGGAATTAGATTAGATTATATAAGTCCGTAATATGACGAATCAGATGAGTTGTTGCCAATGTAAACCGTTGTAACATCATGATCACAGACTGGTTTCACATAATTACACATAGTTTTAACATTTCATACAAGTATTTCATAAAATCCCAATCAGATTCTTACCTTCGGCTTCGATAACCTTCCTGCCGTCTTTCGAAAATTTCTCCATCTCCACTTTCTTCTGAAGCGTATTTGGCGCGGGATTAATTTCGTCCAATCAGAATAATTCCTCTATTCGCTCCGATCCTACCGGAAGTCAATTTATAAAAATATGGCATGGAATGACTTCGGTGCGAAAAAAGACCATGTAACTTTGTCTGTCGATAAACAGGCACACCAATCGATGAAAGGAAGATTAAAACACATATAAAAAGATACGGGCTTCATCTCAATGACGGCGATGCAAACAATGGATAGGAATTGGAGTTTGAACATTCGCCCGACAGCATGTCAACAACTCCAGTTTCCCCTGGATTTTCGCACACTAGGTAAGACTAAGGCCATCATACGTTGATTAAATTAACTTAAGGAGCAATGCCATGTTGTTTCCGTAGTTATTTCAATTAAAAGTTTTTGTAAAAAGTCCAGAGGTGTAGGCGTGTCGCTGTTTTGTGCCACTAAGTCACCGAATATTTCACAGGCGTTCGAAATTCTGACAGTAAATTGACAGACCTAACGTTAAATCTTATAAAGGAATATGGACGATTAAGTCAATTACTATCGATAGTAATACTGTTATCTTGAAATGATAAATATCTCAATTTACTGTCAGAATTTTAAATGCTTGTGATTATTTTCACCGCATGGCGACGGTAAAATCCTGGGTATAATCGAAGTCAAGTATCTCTTCGTTTTTGAGGATTATGTTGTATAATATTGTACCAATTGTGAACTAATACTTGTACTTTACATAACGAAAATATTAAAAAAAAATCCCTGTTCATGATCTATGATCTAAATAAAATGTTTAGATTATTATTTTTACTGCAACTGGCAGTTGGAATTATTCTGAGCAATGTTGACTGAAAATGTTTATGTCCAATGTTAATTACCAGTAAATATACTGTCAACTTACCAGCCATGCCAGTATTTACTGGTAAACATTGGACAACAATTTCTTTAGTAAATATTAATTGCGGCCCTGAGATAATTAGCTATCTTGTCAATTACCTCATATAGAACTCCCTGATCTCAAAGATCTCATCTCGCTTTCAGTTTATAAAAGTGTGAAGGTTCATGATCTTTCCTGTTCAGGTGTCCCGCTTTGTCGGTGACTAACTGATGTCATTAAACAAACTTCAAAATACACTAGTCTCAAATTTAGAAATGGCTTGACATCCTTGAACTACCCGACTATTTACTAAGGATGTTAAACATTGTAAACCAAGCTGGAAACAATTCTGAATTTGGTCTTCAATAAACAATAGTTCCATCCGCAATAAGCCCATGCCTGCAGGTAATAACACCCTCCCCCCAATATCATTATGAATTTCATTATTTTTTAATTCATTTCCCTATATATACATGTAGCGTGTAATATATATATGTCTGCAATTAGACCACCCAATATTTTACACTTGCTCCCTGGGCTTATTGAAGGATAAATATGGTAGATGATAATTAATTGGTAATTGGCGTGTTCAGTATATCATACAAATTATATATTTCAGATCAGATTCAGAGACAAGCTCTGATGATAAATTAAACCAAGATCTAGAGGATATGGCCAATTGGCATGAAGACCAGGGTTCAATATACTCAGAATCTGATCAGGAGATGACAGATCCTGAACAGGATGATTCAGAGGCCAACAGTGATTCCGAAGATGAGAACCAAAAGGAAATGAATTGTGACTGGTGTAGTTCTTATGACTTCACTGTATTCAACTCAGAATTAGCAGTCAACAAAATTCCTAATTCTGATACTATGACTAAACTTGAATGGCTGTGCTATCAGTTTCATAGGTTTGTGTCCCATCCATCAATGAGCAAAGCAGCGTTTACACAAAATCTTCAGGTGCAGAAAATAATACACAATGACAAAGACAATATACAAAACAATAATGAAAATAATGAACTGCCAGGATGACTTTTTACCAGCTGTGCCAATATCTCTGAATGTCCTTGCAAGTCTGGGACATATTGAGTCAGAATTTGAAAAATGCCATTACCATGCCCGTGTTAAAGGAGCATGCTGAAAAATCACTCTGCATTCATGTTTTTGAACTAGTTGACTGGAGACACTGTATTAGTTCATTGCAGTAGACTAGGAAAGAAGTTCATCTTAGTCCAAATAACACCAAATCTCACATTCATAAGTGTTAAACACTTGAACATAACTGACTTAACATAGTCATATTTTGTATAAACTCATGTACGTTAATAGCTAGCCTACAATTGTCTTTGTAAAGGGTAATATATCTATTAAAAAATTGTTAAACTGATGTATTGTTCCATTTTTTCTAGTTAATACCACTTCATGCAAAATGTATTTCAGATCTCATCACCTCTGCATGGATTGTCAGAGGAGTTATAGTTCCATTGGAATTAATATTCCAGTAGAAATATAATTCCAGTGATTTTTTTCCAGTGGAATTCTACTTGTATTTTTTTGCTTCACTGGAATTCCACAGGATTTTTGTTTTCTTCTCTGGAATTCCAGTGGTATTCCACTGAAATATTTCATTCCAGTGGAATCTCACTGAAATTCCAGTGTTATTTTCAATGGGTATATATATATATATATATATAAGGAGGTGAGAAGCATGTGATTTGTAGTCTGTGACCTTAACAACTGACTGAGCCACCGCTGCTCCCAGTAATTACAGTGCTTCCCAAAGTCAATAAAATCAATACAGATGGAACTCCATAATATAATTTATGTATACTTCCTGCAAAATTGGCAATTATATTTATATATTATATATATTTACATTATTATATACATTCATGCAAAATGGACATGGAGTTGAAATAACCACAAGAAAAAAAATGGTTTCTGAGGATACTGAGTTTTCTCATCATTCATAATTTCATGAATAATAGTGAATTTTGTGTATTTGAAATATTCATCAAAGTTCATGATTTCTGCTCAGTCAATCTTTAAGAAATTTTGATGAATTTTAATGAATTTGCATTATTCATTTAAATTCATCAAAGTTCATGATTTCTCAAGGATATGCCTTTCATGAATTCTGATGAATTTTAATGAATTTTTGCTGTGCATAAAAGTCCATGAATAATTCATAATCACAAACTTCATGCAGATTCATGCATTTTTATGAATTTATTAATTATTCATAAAAGTTCATGAAGAATGCATGAAAGCAGGTTGATGAATATTCATGAATAAGTATTCATGAATTTCAAACTGTCTGTATTCATGAATGTTCATGAATTGTTCATGACCATTCATGATTTCATGAATACCCTCTCGCAGGGGTAAGAAAAAAATAGTTAAGGGACCTGAAAATATATTTGCGGTAAGCGAGGTGGTAAATGAAATGACGGCCATCATATTGAGGTTTTACTGTACGTGTGTTTCTACTTGCTACCTTACAACATATATCACCAACAGGCGAGCTGTCCTGTTCTCCAACAACTCTTGTGGAAACAGGTAGACTATAGCAAACTAACACCCTTAGCACTTGTCATACTATTAAGCTATAGTAAACCTGTTATTCTACCTTGCGTGATAGACCACCCCCGAACTCTCATCTCCACTCCCTCCAAACTATTACCACAGATACTGTTACTTTAAACACGTCATATGTTCATATCTCCCTTCGCCTGTTGTCCGTCCATCATCCGTCACTTAACAATTGTTGTTATTGCTATTTCTCAAGAAGTACTGTGCAGTTTCATATGAAGGTTTCCCTTGGTCCAAAGTTGTACCTGTTTCATTTTGAGACAGATCAGAAAAACAAGATGGCCACCAGGCAGCAATATTCCATTTTGACAACTTAAGTTGTTTCTCAGTACTTTAGCATATTTCATTGGTTATAATTGTGCCTGTTTCATTTTGGCACTGATTGGATAAACAAAATGACTGCCAGGAAGCCATACTGGGTATGATTAATAGACTGATCAGAAAAGCAAGATGATCGATCGACCGCAAAGAAGCCATCTCAAATTTTGACATTTAAAGTTTGTTATCGCTATTATTTCATATGTTAAATTGTTTTCCTGAGTGCTAAGTTGTGCATATTTCGTTTTGAGACTGAGCTGAAAAACAAGATGGATGCCATCATTGGAAAGTTTTGTTATCGCCGGATGAGGATGCTTCATATCTGGTCATATATATAGTATGCAAACAAATTCATCGCATTTTCTCCCACCCTTCACAGGTGTGTCTCCCATTTTAGCGGGGAATGATCAGCTTGTCACCCCCTAGGGGGAGATAGTCTCGTGCTGATTAGCACCTGACAATGTGTCACCAGTGTAGAATTCTTTTTTCTTGCAATGTTATTGGAAAGTAATTAACATTGGGCACAGAAGGTTTATCTAGGCGCTGTGCAGTGCAAATGTAAATGTGCAAATGTAAATGTGCGAATGTAAATATTTAAAATTGAAAAGAAAACCATTACCAGTTGAAAAATGATAATGATGAAATAAAAAAAATATTAAAAAAAAAAGTTCAGCTGGGCTAGATCAGAATTTGAACCCTTTGCTCCAGATTGTTGTACCATCGCTGTTACCTATTGAGCTATCTGGTCAACAGAAGTGTACTAGTTTAAATGGGCTACAGTTATCAAAAATGTGGAAGTTAAATGGAGATTATCGTAAATAAAAAGAAACAGCAGTGCAGTGGGACCGGTATCCTTAAGTTAAAAGAATATTTTACATGTTAAATGATGAAGTTAATAAAACATTAAAGGATCATATTTGAAATGTAAATAATTATATAAGAGCATGTTATTAAACCATTAAATATTTGTAATGCACACATCAGAGGATCATTTAATTTAACAATTAAATGTTTAAAATGCATGTTAGATGTATTGATTTTAAGTATCTAATTCTTATGTGTTTACTCTTCAGAATACAAAATTTAGATTTAACTTTAGTGATATTTAGCCTTAGCAAAAAGTGTGAATAATAGAAGGTTGAACATTGATGTACCATGCATGTTCAGAACGTTGTCTAAAACAACTATCCTTTATGGCTGATCTTTATCTGCGGCTTCTTATTAAACACCTGGTGTGCCTTTTATGTTCTAGGTTATATTGAACACTTGTGCTCGCCGCCTCCACAAACAACCTAGCAGTAAGGACACAAGCTGTAGCAATGGGAAAGGATCAGCCTGTCTCTCCGACAACAACGATCACCTACTCAACATCGAAAACGTACATGACAGCAATTTCACTTTAAACGGAAAAGCATCTAAAAAACATTATGTCAATGGTAAGATCTCTGAGGTTTCTAACATTTCTAAATAACAACTGCAATTTCACTTTGAATAGGAAATATTGTATTTCTTACTATGATTTATTTCATGAAACAGCCCTTCATATTTCTATACAATCAGGGCAATAAATTGTTTATTGTACAACAACAACAAAAATACAAAGAGATAATCGCGCAATATTCATTAGGTCAATTTTTGTGACTTTTATTTCCAATGGTGTAAAAAGCAACAACAAAAAAGCCAACATGTCTCCAAGGAGGGAGGGGGCATTCTGTCTCCAAGGAGGGAGGGGGGGCATTCTGTCTCCAAGGAGGGAGGGGGGCATTCTGTCTCCATGGAGGAAGGGGGGCATTCTGTCTCAATGGAGGGAGGGGGCACATTCTAACAGCATCATGATCTTTGAACAATAGGATTGTCCTGTTGGGATTACTCGTGAAATGATTGTTTGCCTGTATGGAATTCACTTTAACACACCTGTATATGAAGGTATACTTTATTTTGGTAGATAATATAAATTTCCAATCATTTGTATGCTACAGGCAAACACATGATGAATGAAGAAGATGGTGACGGGTTAATGCTGCCTTCCCCAGAGAGCAGCAGCAGTAATTTGTTGGAACAGACGGGTAACATGGACTCCCCAAGTCACTCACCGCCACTTTACTCCAGCAACAGACTTGGTGCTTTTAATAACAATGGCAGCTCGGAGAGCCTGTGTTCATCTATGCCGCCATTGTGTTTATCACAGGCTTTACCGACAAGTCCACATGGAATAGACTCTTTGTCATTTCCATGTGACAGCAAACATCCTGGTGCTCTACCCGTAGCTCTTTATGCAAATTCAAATTCAATTCAACAAGATGTGCAAGAGTTTATACGTCCCAGTATCATAGCGACGGTCGGATCTGTTGGCTTGAATTTGTCAACATCTAGTCTCATGGACACAACAGTTGTCTCCCCTGGCCTGGGCTCTCCGCTGTCTCTCGGTCATCCCAGTCTGGATCTCCATGGGGATGGAGGTGTACAGGTATTGACATCATTATTGATGACATCAAAACAAAAATATGACTTCAATATTCATTTAAAAATACATCTATATGCTACATTGTATATTAGTGTGCCTTATTGACAGTGCCTCAACTTGTCCAAAAAGTGCCATACCTTATAAGCTTGATAATATCATTTTTGAATGATATACAAAAATTAGAATGGGAATGTTGATTCATAACATATTTGAAATAAACACACACAAATTAAATGCATTTTATTTTAAAATTTGTAATGGAATTCTCTTTAATTATTGATAATGCTAATTAGGGTTGTTTGAAGGGAGATAACTCTGAAATATGTCGTGTGTTATCAACTTTTAAGGGAGATAACTTGATGAAGTTTATAATCTGCTTTTTATTTTGTTTCTATAAATGTTTATATCTTTGTTTTTGTATTTCCAACAAAGCTTTGTTGAAAAACCTTGGTTTAACACACAATATAATCAAGAAGTCACTTTAATTGTTCCAGCTAACAGTTATAGCACAATATACATGTAGCACAAATTAAAAGCCATTGGCAAGTAGGCCAGTAGCAGCTAGTAAAATAATAGTCTAAGGTGATGTAAGTGTACATTAACACTGGCCGATTGATCAATAACACCTAGGGGAAGAAAGCCTTTCAATGATGTGGATGTCTGTTTTATCATGTTCAAATAGTCAGTAAAAACAATATGATGAAAGTTTTCAAAAAATCTGATGTAACATTTATAGGTTTTGTTAATCATTGAGTTTTTGTTTTATTGCAGTCAAGCTCACAATTATCCCCAAACTCAGAGTCATCACAGACATTTATCAAAATATTTGCTAATGAAAAAGAGGCTGTGACAGTAGGAATCGAGTTCTATGAATGTCGTTGGGTCAGTTGTGACCGAAAGTTTATTCTATTGGATGATTTAGTCAATCATGTTAATGACTCGCATGTCAAGGTGGAGCGTCCCGACATAGATTACCAGTGTAAATGGGATGGCTGTCCACGAAAAGGCAAAGGGTTTAATGCCAGGTGAGTTCTCAAAACAAATTTCCTGACACAGATTTTTAGGTCACCTGAGACAAAGTCTCAAATGACCTATTGCGATCGCCTTTTGTCCGTCGTCGTCCGTCGTCCGTCGTGCGTCCGTAAACAATTTACATTTTCGACTTCTTCTCCAAAACCCCTGAACCAATTTCAATGAAATTTTGCAGGGACCTTCCATGGACAAAGGTCAACAAAAA